TAGCTCACTTTAAGAAGAATATATCTTTAAAAAAGAAGAAAAAGATATCATTATTTCTTCAACATACTGTACCTTCGTGCTCCGATCAGAGCGATGATTTCTCATGCGTTTACAATAGCCAACTATCTGCTTATGTCAACATTTTGCTTGTTTATTGATTCTTCATGTGAAATATGGCTGAGCGATTGAGTCTTCCAGTATCATAAACCCGCATAACACATAACAGCAGTATAAATAGGCCATCGACAGGGTCCACACTAGGACTCGAGGATTAAAGTGATATGAAAAGGGTGTAGCGAAATTTTTCACAAACAGAAATGCATAGTTTGATAGTCTCTGACACTATTAGACGGAATATTAATCGAGAATTTTCACTACAATTCGGCAGATACGACATAAAAGGTGAGCAATGCTAGCATCCCCAACCCTTCTTTATTCAGATTCATGCTGTTTACCATCTACTAGCTGATCTAAAATGTGAGCGGATTTCTCTTGTAGTCACTGCACCCAATCATACAACCTATTGTAATAATACAGTGAAAGAATGAAGATTAACTTGCTATAGTAACACTTTTGGAAAAGATTTCATGATTTTTCAAAGACTATGATAGTCAAACATGTGAATAACACTCTTTTAATGAAGAAATACAATTGTAAACAAGATGCTTCGATCTAAAACACGGAATTAGTACAATTTACTTTCGATCGATGATTTGCTAATTGAACACTTTGTATCGCCCTTATGGCAGATATTACGTCGTGAAACAAATGTCATCAAACAAAGCAACCAATTAAGTAAAGAAGGTATACACAAGGTGTAGGTATGGATGTGACTTTTGTTTTCGCTTCACCTACACCTTAAACCACACTCATACTCTTACTGTATATAATGAATAGTCGTCGTATAATGGTAATAGACTAGAACAATGAATAGTTGAATACTTATTCAAGGCCCGTGCTGTGAAGAAATTGGCTCGTCTCTTCGAATAAAGATTGTTTCTTCCGTTTATTGGTACTTTTTTTTCGTCGATTCTTAAACGAGTGTGTTTGGTTTGTTATTGAAGGGTTTTTTATTCTTTGTTTCAAGAATGAAGATGATGCAAGTCTGCATCAAAGAAGTAATAGCGAAGCGAATATATAGCCATCGAAAGAAGAAGAAATAACAAATCTATAAGAAAATAAATGCTATTGTCATTGTTGCCAAGTTTTTTTCCCAAATAATTGTAAATATGAGCAGCTATTCTCGATTCAATAATGAAAACCAATAAATATTTGTTGCAAAACTTATTTTTCTCTTCAAGTATGTTCTTTCATTTTTTTACTAGTATCAGTTAGAACACTAGCTAGTGTAAATTTTTATTTCCTATTGTCTGGCAATAAAACAATAAAATTCTCAATATTATTATTCGATTTTCTTGAGAATAGTTGTAGCACATTTGATACCACTCATTGATGTTGCTTGATTCCTACCTAAGAGAAACCAATGCGTAGGTGTTATTGATGGTATTAATTATTGCACAAATTCACTATATGTTTGTTGATAATTGGATGAACAAAAATTATTATATTTCATTTTCAAATTATGTTCACGATAAAGTTCTAGATGAGAAAATTTTAAATTTATTTTCTACATGTTTAACTGATTTTTCTTTTAACATTTTAGTAAAATATCATTAGAACTTTTCTGTCAATATCAACAGTTGTTGTAAATGAATCATTACGAAACACCACAAGCGATGGTTTATCGATGTATCTAATGACATAAGTGAATTAGTTAATGATCTAGTTCAAGAAAGTGAATTGATGAGTAAATAAATAAGCTAAATGCTCAATATTCTGAACTATATAAATCTATCGTGTTTATATTGAGAATTCAATAATAGCATTTTCATGTACTAAGAGTTTTTCAGACTGACTCATCATAAGAGAAGTGAGATACATCAAAAACAAATAGATCTTCACCATTCGTTTGTTGCTATATGTCTTAACCAGTTTAGCACTGCACCCTAAGCCGATGTTATTTGTAAGTTATATACCAAATATACATGAAGAAATGGAGATCCGTTGTCACTGTTGCATATGTAGTCGTGCATAAGCATTCTTGCACAGTATTACATATCAAGTTAGAAATTTAATGTATAAAGAGTTTAATGCTAGCAGAAGAAGAAAAAGAAATCTGCGTAAAACCTTATGCCCTACTTTACTTTCTATGAGATACAAATATCAGGGTACAAAGAGGAAAAGAAGAAGCAACTACTATAACAGAAATACAGATTACAAAGAAGTGACATGGAAAAGATTGTTTACATTAACCATCATTCCATGTAATTAGTACGTATCTTTTTGGGAAGCATTCATTGTCGAAATGACATATATATCTAATGATTTTATCAGTTCGAGTTAATTTGTCAGATATTAAGTTTACGACCAATGCAAAAAGCAATGCAATCAGTACAAAAAGAAAAACATGACCTCTTTCTAATAGCTATACGATACAAGATACTAGTAAGAAATAAATCAAACTATTCATGTGGTAGAAGATAGTATGTATAATTATAGAAGGAAAAGTAAAAATAAAATATGTAATGCACGAGCTTCCCGTTCATATTAAAATTGATGCAAATCTAAACATTGTTGCAATAAGGTAGATATGAGAAAACTTTCGTATAACAAGTATTATACAGTCTCCTTAAGAACTTATTTCACTTCTATTATTATGAAATGAATTATTGGCAATTGTCGAAACGCAAGAAAAGTTATATCCTGTTAGAAACTACATCGAATCAAAAATGAATATAGATAGAAATGAGTTAATGGTTGTCATGAGAATTTAGTGACATTTCGTAAATGGATGATGACACAATCATGCAATTTTATTACAGACAGCTAGAGATGATGTTTATTATAGAAAGGTTAGCTGCAAGATAACTATTATTTGAAAAGCAACCAAATGAACAGTTTTAATATCGAAAGCTATCTTGCTAAGATAATGTTTTGAGTAAAACCGACTTTTCAGAATTGAACTTGAATCAAAATAAAAAGACTTAGCTGGTTTACAATATTCAAAAAATAAATAACGCTGTTTGAATATTTTTAGAGGTATATTTAATTGTATTATTCATAATGATACTTGCGACTGCTGCTATTAAAAAAAACATAATCAGATGTAGAAATAACTAGCTCGTATCAATATTTTTATCTGATATCTTATCGTCAAAAGAAAGATACATTAAAATCGTTATCTATTTTTCAAATTAATGTGAGTTTTTTTATATTTTAGTACTTGTATCATTTGTAAAATGGTTCTTTGGAAAGAATGTCAAATGATTTGGTCTATTGAGCGCTTTCATCAAGATCAGATCACCAATCTACATGTTAAGTAATTCTGTGTTCAACTATACATGAGTATATACAGAAAAAGATCAATGAAGAGAAATATGAAGACAAGCCCTTGTAACTAATTAAAATATCCATGTTTTTAACTAATTTTTAATTCTCAGTGAAGATATCATTGAATTGTTTTGGATAAAATTAACACAAGATATTAAAAGCATTTTTAACACGTTTTTAAAAAATCTAACTTTTTACATTTTTTATTAGCTGAAAACCAGTGCTAAATGATTATTAATAAAAAACTCATCATGAAGATTTAAAAGTGGTTTTAATATTTTGAAAAAGTTTACAAATATTTTGTGCATTAAAAGTTTCAAACTAATCGAACAAAAAAAGAACAGAATCCACAGTGAATCAATTCAAGAAACCTCATACTTTAAATAGCATTTAGGGACTAAAACAGATCTCACTATAATTACTATAAAGAATCAGGTTTCAAATCGGCAATTTCGAAGTAATACTCTAATTCGAATCAAATGATCAAAATAGCATGAGATAGTCAACACAATCGAAAGGTGTCATGATTTCATTTAACAGGTTCTTGTCAGAGTGATCAGTCCGACAACTGAAGACGCCATATTACTGAATTAATTCTCTCCGTCTTTCAACGTAAACCGTCTGCTCGTTTGATGAGCTACTGTTACTTAAGCAAATGATGATCATTTGTCCTACTACTTTTACCGTTTGAGAAGCTGACGATAAACGACGACGTATTAACGCAAATTTTCATTATTTTACATTGTTTACGACCATAAAAGCGTTGTTTTCTTGGACCTGAGTTTCTCATTATAGACATAAACCTAGAATTCAGTAACAAAATCTCTAGAATATTTTCTTCTATCATTATTTGATCAACGATACCTGACGACATCTATAAAACTTGCCTATCTTACAGAGTTTCTCATGTCAAACTCAGCGTAAACAAAAATAAAAACTGACTAAGTTATTGTTTGTCGTTTAGCAATTTTAGTCTTTGCTATTTCTACTGTTTCACCTACGTTATCATCAACAAGAATGATAAAAAGTATAAAGATTTATTTAAACTCCTTTACTCTCTTATAATTCTAAATTCTTGTAAATAATAAAATTATGTTCTAAGCAATCTTTCACGTTGTTTGATATCAACCTACATTTGAACCTTTCAGCGAAGAAAAAATGAAAAAATTAAGGTGATGATAAAAATCACCAATTCTGTTACATAATGATGTCCATATTAAAAAAAAGAACAGATATTATCTAATCACACATTCTGTATTCGGTTCAACGGGTACTCCTATCCCTTAAAATGTTCTTTATTACAAATAATTGATCAATTTATCATTTTTTTTTAAATTTTTAATGTGTGTCCACATTGATTTTATTTTTTCTTCTATGTTCTTTTCTTCTATTAGTTTTTGTTCTTTTTTTCTATCCTTATGTTTTTATGACGTTCTTGTGTTTAGCGTTCTGTTACACAATGAGGTGGTAGAGGAGAAACAGCTAGGTCATAGAGTGCATGGTTGTAGAACAACAGCTTTTTTTTTCTATTTCTAGACCATTAAATTAATCGAAATTTTTTCAAAATATTTTGTCAACGTCTTTATTTATTAATTGACGCAACTCAAAAAATGAGTAATACTAATGATTCTCATAAAAAAAGTACAAGTGTTCTAGAAAAACTTGGACAAAAATTTTCAAATATTAAAGAAGATATTGCTGATAATATCGAACGTCGTAAGCATTCTCATAATAATAATAATAATAATAATAATAATCAAATACATTCTACAACGCGGACCAATATGACAGATGAATCATTAGTCATTGAAAAAAAACCTCCAATATCAAATGAAAACCAATCGTCTAAGAAATACGGTAAGGACAGAAAAAAAACAACGTCTTCACATTCGATAAGAGAAACAGAGAAAATAGAGCAGTGTATTCTTTCACATCTACTGACTGATTCATTTGAATTCTGTAATAAGACATGGAAAACGACGACGATAAAATCAAAAGTATGTTTTACTACATAATTTTCTGTTATTCATAAAATAGATGATACAATAGTTTTTTTTTCTCGATAATCTGAAAGAAAATATATTTTATTTTATTTTGAAATAAATAGGTGATGATAATTCAAATACAGAACCTATGTATTCAATATCACGATTGGCAATGAATTTTGGAAAAAAACAAACAAATGATACATTAATTGCTGCAACAGCTGGTATGGTTCATAATGATTCATTTCGTTTATCACAAGATATATTTTCAACGGTTAACTCTGAACAAGCAAAAGATATGATACTGAGTGATGTACGTCATGGACTTTATCGTATTCAAAGTCGAGCACCAAGTGAAACTACTCTTGAAGATACTACTATAAATAAAATAGATACTCTCGATTCGACAACAAAACCTACAACTGTACGTATTGATCAAAATGCACGAAAATCAACAATATTATTAGCTGGACCAAAATTTCGTTATCATACTGTTGATCCTGAAATACAATTAATGCGAAATACAATATATCCCGTTTCGGTAAAATATTTTTTGTTCTTAGGTCTCTTTTTTTAACTAAAATTTTTTTCATATTATTATTATTAGGCTGCTGTTGGATTTTTTACATTACTCATAACATTATGGAAACCAATTTCATCATTTTGTAGTGGATTTTTAGTTGGTTTTATGATCATGACAGCTATTGCTTATATTATAATACGAATATATACAAATGCTAAAGCTGATGAAAGTGTTGTTCATGAATGGATTGATTTTCCTGACTTAGAAAAATTTCATCAAGACAAAATATCTAAAGAAGATAAACATACAACTTTACATGTAGGACTTTTTTATTTTTTATTTTATTCACATAGTAAACAAAAAAATCTATTTTTAGACATGTGGAGAAATTATTTTTGGTCGATATGATGCTGATCGTGATGATGATTATGTTCGTTATCCAGTTGTTATTTGTCTTGATAATTATCATCTTACCATTCAATTACCAACACAAGCTAAAGAAGAAAAATATAAAGAGAAAGAAATTAGATTTGTTGGACATCGAGAATATTTTATCAAAGGTAAAAACATAAAAAGAAAAATTTTATTTTGTGAAATACAATCAAAAAACGAGTGTTGAAGTATAGAAGTAAAAATTTAGACTATCCCAACAGACTGCCATCAACGCTAGTCACAGACTGTATATCCATAACATCTTGTTATCATAAATGAACTACTTCCTTATTGTATTTCTGGAGGACTAAGTCAAAAGATGGTGAAAAAATGTGTCCCAAAATAGATAGATTAAAAGAAAGATTTTCCTATGGTTCTCAGGAACAACTACTTCGTGCTTGATATTTTAATTCAATAGAGCTTGTGATAACAATTTTTTAGAAGAGATTTGAAATCTGGTAAACTTTTTTCTGTATCCTACATTTAAATTTTGAGAATTTAATTAGAGTAATATGATGATATCCATAAAGGCAGAAATAGATTTGTACTTTCTGAGATTTTGTATACATTAACTCTTTGAGTACAATTACTTGACTCTCAAAAGAACTGAAGACTTTTTATCTCTGACTAAAATGTTATCCCGATTTCTTTTTATCTACAAAATGAAATCAAGTGTTACCTTTGAACTTTGAAGTTCGTTTTCAAAAAAAAAACACGTGATTCGACTGAGATATATTACGTTCATTTCAAAATTGTACTCGATACTCTAAAATGTCTGTTGATTATTTGCCCCATGTATGAGGGTTAACAGGTACATAATTCGAAAAATGCACTGGAATTGAACAATCACAATTGAAATATACTTAGGGAGAAAAACCAAGCATCTTGCACTCTATAATATTTCCTATGATTAATGTTCATTGTAATCATGTAAAAATATAATAATTAAAATATACGACGAAAACATCTACAGGTTTCATGTTGTTAAAAACATTTCACATATGTTTGCAAATCAAATAAATAGCATATTTGACAAAAACTACATCGCGATATGTTTCTTGCATTCGAGAGGTATTCAAAGCTTAAGAAACTCTAAAAAAAAAGCATGCTGAATTCTATAAGGATTGGTTCTTCATAGATCGTTGACGATTTTTTGCATTGATTCTAGTAGAAATTAATCCCGATGTAGGTTTTTACAAAAATCACTTTTGTAAGAAATAATTCTATTTAAAACAAACTTTATATTTCCAAAGAGAAAATTATATAAATTTTTTTTTTGTTTTTTTCAGAAGCCAATTTAATGCTTGTTCCTGAAGCAACAATGGCTCGTATAAAATATTGGGTTAATGAATATCCAATTATAATACATGATTTAAAAATATTAGACAAACAAGTTTATAATCAAGAATATTTAGAAAAATCAAAATTTGATACTGATGATTTTTTTAATAATTCTCAAACAATAATAAGTCTCTTTCTTGATACTGGACCTGAAAAAGAAAATTGGTTTCATAAGTAAATTATTTCTTTTAAATTATTTTTTAACTAAAACTTTCATTTACCAAAAAATTTAGATTATCACTAGTAATACGTCAAGGTAAAGTAGAAATTGAACGAGCTAATCTTGCATTAATTGGCGCACCATCAGCACCTCCACTTAATGCAACAGTTGATTCTCCAACTATAAAAATGATTGCACAAAGTATTCCTGATACACAAATTCCAGTATTAGGTTCACGTGCAGCTGAAATGCAAGCAAATACAGTTAATCTTGATGAACGTTTTCAAATGAAGCCAGCTGAAACAGTTGGTCCACCATATCCAGATACAACATCAACAGAAAAAGGCGATACCGAAATACTTCGTAGTCAAATAAATGAAGCTGATATTCGTAGTGATATGGCACAAGCTCGTCTTACTGCACAAGAATTACGAAATGAAACATTAGAAAAAGAAAAAGATAAAGATAAAAAAGTGAACGATAAAGATGTAGATAAAGATTCAATAAGTTCACATCATACAGCATCATTAAAAAAGAAATTTCGTAAACAAGAAGAAAATCTTGAACGTTTACTTGATTCACCTGATTGTCTTGATGAAGCAGCAATAACATTAAATTTTCTTGCACGTCGACTTTTTTGTGATGTTTTTGAAGAACCATTATTTAAAGATTTAATGAAAGAAAAAATTGAACTTAAATTAAAAGAAATTGCTGTATGTAAAAATTTTGTTTTTTGTTTTTTATTGAAAGAAAAGACAAACGAATGTATTTATTTATTTCTTTTTTTTAGGTAAGTGTACTTGAAGATCTTCATGTTGAAAAAATTGATTTAGGAAAAACATTTCCTATTATACTGAAAGTTGAACCAATGCAATGGAATGCCAAAGGAATTTGGTTTAATCTATTCTTTTTTTATCGAGGCAGCTTGAAGTAAGTTTACATCTTACAAAGAAATTTTGATGAATCTTTTTTGATCTGCGACCATTTCGTATGATCGATTTTGTCATTTCTGTTATATAAGCGTCGCAGCGTGTGGGCTAGTAGCACCCTACGAAGAGTCTCTATGTACGCAGTAAAGTTTATCAGTATTTTACTTTTCGATATTACTCAAAAGTATGTAGATCTAGATGGCATAGAAGAGTTTGAAAATTTTTTATCGTTTCTGATCGAAATAATAAATCAGATAGATTCGAATATTTAATAAAGAATAAAGCTAAGGATGTCTTCTCTTTTTGTTTGACCATTTTTGGTTTTTGAAGAGCTTAGAACGAACCCACATGAGATTTTGATCATAGATATTTAGAAATATTCTCCGGAGGTGAAATCGGCCCGTTTTTGTTTTTGATCTTTCTCTTTAGATTTACGAAGTCTTGAATATTAGCACTCCAGTTTTTAATCCGAACGTTTATATATTTGTCTTATTATAAAGAAAAAGATACATTTTTGAAAAGCTTAAAACTAACTCTGAGTATAGGTTACGATACCTTCAGAAAAGTGTTCAGCTCGATCGAACAAAATTAGACAAGAGTGATAAAACAGGCCCGATGTAATTCCATATAAAATCAGTCAATAAGAAGTTCATTTTAAGTGCTCTCTTATGATAAAATTTTCATGTTGATCTATTGCACACTCATCGCGAAGAAGAAATGATCAAAAAGAGAAATCCTTTAATGTTGAACTCTCTATCTGAAAATTTTCTAATAGTCATTTCTATTCAAACAAGTCTGTTATTTTTGTTTATGAAAAGAATTTCATAGAATCGAAACCAATTTATCTCTATGCTGTGAATGTAAATAGTCACCGAATATCCTGCTATTTCATAGACTTTACGTCAAAAAATTATTTGTTTCGTTCGTACTATTGATTATAATTTCTATTTTGGTCACAATGTTCTACTATAGTATATTTGCAAAAAAAAATAAAAGAAACAGAAAAATTTTAATTTGAATGATAATGATATCTTAAGAATTGTTCGAAATTAAATACTCGATATTTAAAAATTTCAAATCTTAACTTGACTCTGAACTCTTATGAGATTTTCTTAATCTTATAGAATTCATTTCTTTATGGAACAATGCAATATAATAGTCTTTAACAAATGTAGATTTATCCTTGTTAGTTTTCTACAAAGATTAGCATTCATATCGATTACTTTGGTGTCAGATTTCAATTGACATATTCTGTTGTCAAATGATCGAATTATTCTTGTCTTATTTCACTACGATTTCTTACATTCATTGATTCCTTTTGATAGACAAGATTTTCGTAATCTTGATGAGCAATAATAACAAAGAAATTAGAGCATTGAACTTCATTAAAATAAACATTTGTTTAGAATAACAATTAAGACACGTCTAGTCCTTCAACCATTACTCAATTATAATCCTGATTATGATCAACCAATGTATGCTCAACATCATTCAGCACAAACTGTTCATAGAGAAGACAAAAAACTTGATGATGATGATCTTTTACAAAGACAAAAATTATTAGCGAAAGAACCAGAAATACCTGAAAAGTTTGTTAAAATTCTTTTAATTAAAAATTTATATAACTATATATTATAATATAGTGCTGCAGCACGTAAATTAGGTACTTTATTAACAAAAGTTGCTACAAACAAACATTTTCAACGATTTGCGGCTTTAAAACCAGTTGCTGGTGTTATTGAAAAATTATCGAATTCTGAAATTGGTGCAAATGTTGAATTAACTAGTTTTAGTGGTATTATGACTGTAAGTTTATAAAAATATCTTTTAATTTTCTTTTTATGTTTAATTAAATATTGAATTTTCTATTAGATTAACATTCCACCACCACCAAGTGATCGTTTATGGTAATTAGAAACAATTCTTTCTTTTTCTTTCTATAAATTTTCAATAAGAAAATTTTTTCTTTATTTAGGATTGGTTTTCCTGAAATGCCTGATCTTAGTCTTAAAGTAACACCTGTAGTTGGTGAAAACAAATATTCATATTCATTAATTCATGATTTTCTCGAAGCACGTATTCGTGATGAACTTAAAGTAAGTTTTATAAATGGAAAAAAAGTCAGGTTTAGAATCTTGAAAATCTTTTGATACTGAAGGTGTTCTAGTGCTCATACATATTTTGAAGTAGACTTAAAATCAAAATGATATCTATGAATGAAAGTCATACTATTTCAATTCAATTAATCAAAACAAGAATATTTTTCGAAAATAAACATTTTCTATAAAACTTATATTCACATTTTATAATATTCAGCTAGTTTTTGGAATAGACTTTCCCATCATAAGAAAAATTGAACTCAAGAATTTCGAAAAAAAAAAAAGAGATTCAAATTCCTCGACCATGATAATTTCTAGTCAAGCCTTATAATACATAGATGTGCGCAAGATGGTCCTACTTCTACCGGAATCAACATCTTTTTTCTTATTGGAAGTGTCATCTTTTATGGTCGTGTAAGGCTTGCGCTAAATTATGCGAAAATTATTCAATTACGATCGTTTTAATATTTGCTGTTACCATTATGATAATAAAATCAATCCTTTTTTCGTAAATAATAGAATAGTCGAATATATAAACCTACATCACAGACAATGTATTAGTAAATTGAAAAAAAAACGAGGAATTTCCAAGAGGAAAGATATTAGCAGTTATGAAAAATATCTCGAACGCATTGTTACTACTGAAAAATAATATCACATTTTTCGCTAGTACATCTCTATTAGTAAGCGCGAAAACGGAACGAAAAATATTTTCTAATCGTAGCCGGAATGAAAACTGATTGGTTTCGCTAATCCGTAGCTCTCACTAGTAACTATAGCTTCCATTTCTAATGTAATTTCAAATATGTATGAGTATCACAGCACTTTCAAGGTTTGTCAATAGTTTGCAAATATCTTCTAATAAAATGTCGTACTCAGACGTTACACTTATTCATTTGAAGTTTTAAATATAAAAATAAATCTATAAGGTTTTAAATTTATTTTCTCTAGCGTATGGTTGTTCTTCCATCCATGGATGATCAATTATTACCATTCTTTCGTGATTGGGTTATTGATGTTATGTATGTAAAAAAACAAAGGGGGAAAAATTTTTTTTTTTTTTGCTATAATTTAACTTTTCTATTTTAGTGGTGAAATAGCATCAAAACCAGGAAATCCATTAATTGATAGTTATAAAAGTCAAACATCATTTCGAGATAAACTTCAAGAATATAAAGATATTAAAGAATTGAATCGTGCTGATTCATCATTATCTGAATCAACGAAATCAAATTCAACATTATCAGTACAAATGGATACAATAAAAGCTTAATTCATGATAGTAAAAAACAGGAGTTTAAAAAATAAACGATTTAATCTAAAAAACAATCTTTGTTTACACATATATACACATATTCGTGCAAATATACTTTTCTTTTCTTTTTTTTTCTTCATCTGTTTAATCACGCTCTTGTCATTCCTTCCTTTTTTTTTTGTGTACATTGATTTTATAAACTTACCTGTATATATTCTACTATTGAAGAATGAATGAAGCTTTTTGATAGAGAAAAACAAGGCCAAATATATAAAAATAAAAATAGTACATTATACATCAAACGAATGTACAACTTTTTTTTTTCATAGTTTAAATTATATACATATAATCATACAGGTAACATTGATTTTCTTCAAAACATATAAATGATAAAAAAGGAAACTTGTTAAATAAATATTGGCATGTTTATCGAACTGTATGACGATTAAAGCTTTGTTCTCAAAACAAATTTCGTATTAGTGAAGGTCGAAGCCCTTCGATAATAAAAAACAGTGTCTATTTTAAACTAGGTGATCCTTTGTGTTCTATTACTAGGTATTGATTGAAGAAATAAATAGTACATAATAACATGTTTATATCGATTGTCACATACAAAATGTGAAGGTAATTGTAGATGAGTGATCACCCTATTTAAAGAATGAAGTTGACATTTACAGTGAAAAATCAGAGTTTTATTCATTTGTCTTTATCAAAACATAGTTACAGTTTCATATTAATCATTCAGATCAATAAATATGACATAATGATTTTTTACAAACAAAAATGTATTGAGACTTCGACAAACTTCATCAGTCTGATATTTCCTCCATAAGAAAACGAATTCTTCAAATTTTAAGAATTAAATCTATGTAGTACTTTATATCGACTCTAAATCAATTGTATTATATCACACATAAATTGTTTTTATGAAAATCATCTTGTCTATAATTAAAAACACTAATTACTATAATGCTTAAGATTTTAATCTTTCTGAGATTACACTGAAAGCTTTTCTTTTGAATAACTACACTAACAGAAGAATAATTAGTCATTTTCATGAGAACTGATTATAGAAATATTCTTTATGAAAAAAAAAAACACTTCTCCTTCTGTGATGTTTTTTTTAAAGTATGCTCACATGAGGAAAAAAAAAAGAAACGACATAATATTTCTATCGTCAAATGTTGAGCGCATCATATTAAGTGACCTGTTATGAACACTAAGAAAAGAAGAGTTGAACGTTTTTTTCTCTTTCTATAGGAAATATCAAACATTAACTGTCTTAAGAAAACTTCTCGTTCAGCAAATCATAATAGTTGATTATAATAAAACTTACAAACAACAAATGATTGCAATTATTTTATTCTTCTAACATTTTATCTCAAAAAAAAGTCTGATTACATAAAACCTGTAAATTCAAGTCATGCAAAAGAATATAAAAAGTACGTTTAAATACAACTTTTTTGTTTCAACAAAGCACGAACGCATATTGCTTTCTTTTTTTTTCTTTTCTTGTTTTCATAATTGACTTTCAAGCGAGTGACGAGTCGCTTTACCTTATTTGCTGCCTCCTCATACTTTTTTTTTCGTTATAATACACTGTTTTCTGTAACCATTATTGGTTACAAGTGTAAAACACAATAAATATTATGCGCATTTATACCGAAAATCGGTGAATTGTAAAAAACAAAATTTCTTATTGTATTATCTGGAAAATGAAAATAATAAAAATGACAATCACATGTTAAAAAAAAATACACGAGACAGTCATAAATACAGATTGCTATCTGTTATATTAATGAAATTATATCATGCAGTATTAAATCTCATTATATATAGACATAGGTGAACAAATATTTCCTCATAAGAAAATATATATGACAGAGTAGAAAGAAAAAAAGAAGACCTGTATAGCAATTCTTTCTTTCTTTTTCTTGTTTTTATAAAGAACAGAAAAAAAAACTTGGTTATATAAACCACATCTGTATGATTATATTAAATAAGCATATAGTTGAGTCAATTTCACAGATTGATTTATTGTTAAAACTATAGGTTTTTTTTGTAGATATTTTTTGTTTTGTTAATCACAATGGCTTATCGTACAAAAATTTTACCACATAAATTCACAAAACAAGAACAAGAATTGCATATAATTTCAAATCCATTTGACACTACTCGACAATATTTACTTCAACATGATGATTACGAAGCTCCATTAACTGCACATACGCTGAAACCAAATTCGAAATGGATTACAGTACGAAATAATATGCATAAAATTCGTAGTTGGCGTGAAGTTGATACATCGAATGTTGATGAAAAATTTCGTGATTGGTATATATTCTTTCAAATTAGACGTGAATTACGACGTGCACAGGCAGATATCAAAGACATTGAACAACGATCAGATTTTGTTCCTGTTCGTTATTTTGAATTACCTACTGATTCAACACATACTAACCGTGTTAATGTATCACATGTACGGCCAACGGACATGTTATATTACCCTAGTTTTGATCGTGACCCTATGGTTTTACAAGCATTACTTTATTATTTTTCGAAAGAATGCGCTGTACCATATGAAAGTGTATTTCGCACATTTTTAACTAATGTTTGTTCAATTATAAGTCGAGATCGAGAACGTCTTCGTCGAGCAGCTGTTTTTCGTCAAGTAGCATTAATTCTAGCAATAGTTGTTTTTATTATTCTTGGTCTTATGTTGATTTCATTGCTTCTTAGTGTATTAGGAACAACAGCAAATTTATCAAGCATGTACAACAATGATCCTGATGGAGGAATCGAATGGCGTGAACCTTCAACAACTGTAGAGACAACTCTAATTAATTTTTAATTTTATCTTAGGAACTGAATCTTTTAAAATATATCTCAAAGAACTTACAAATAATATGTATATGACGTATCGAAGGGCACAATGCTCTTAGATAAATATTGAAAATGAATTCATAGACGAAATGAATCAATACTAAAATAATGAAAAAAAAGATCAATATGGACTGTATAAGAATATGATATTATTTGGAAATAGAAGGAAAAAAACCGATGAAATAATTCAAACGATGAGTAATTTATTCAATAATAGATTTTATAGAAATACTATATGAATAATTTGAGTGTAGATAAAATATATGATATTTCAAAATTTGAGATGTTGCATTGTATCATCATGAATACGAAATTGTGAAATCAAAATATTGACTATTATTTCTTTACATTCAAAAAGAACATATAATCTACATATACATATTGTCTATGATGTAAATTTCTATGTTTTTTAGTTCATCTAATTATAATTTCACGTAATTTATGTTGCTAATTCATTTTATTACACAACATGGATTAGTCAACCGATCAAAGTTATTGATTCTTAAGTAGAATCAAATTTCGATGTATCTTTTTCAAAAAACAGAAAAAAAAAGGCCAATCTATCCTATGTAATTTATTATTCTATCCAAGAATCTCAAATATTTTATTTAAAAAATCTGTCTGATTGTTATTTTTTTTTAACTGTCTATTTTAGAACTATGAATTGTTTTTTTCTTCTAAACATCTGTTACATCAAAATCATTTACCATGAAATTCACATGTAATGATTTTATTTCTTTTCTTTTTTTTTAATAAAGAATATAAATGCATCTCCAATGGACATCATTATACTGGCATATCAAATTAAGATTTCTTTTTATAGTAAGACATTTAAATAGAATTTCATCGAATAATACTAAACAATTGAATTGATATAGAAATTATGAAATAGAAAACAAAGAAGTTTCATCAATATCAAATTCATAGTTAATCTAAAAAATATTCAGATACTTATTAGTTTCTTCTTTCTATTTTTCCTTATTGTGTAATACGAGTGCATATATTAAAATTCCTCATTAAACAGAGAACAAACATATTCTTTCTTCAGTATTGCATAGCCGTCAATTTTTACTCTATTTCATATGAAAATTAAGGTTTGGCATTGCTCGTGTGCAAAAGAGAAAATAAATTCTTTATGATTGTCATTCAAACGAACCAATAGAAAAAATAATTACTGTTATAAGTGTTCGGATACTTTCTGTTTAGACTATCTTTAAAACATAGGAAAAAAAATAAAATAAAAATAATTTTCCGGTGAAAATTGATACATTGAGTAGATTGAAAGTGGATCATTTCATTTAAAATGCACTCTGTGTAAAGGAGATCGAGTATTCAGACTATAAAATACAATATAACCTATATAACTATTGTAAGTGCGTGAATTACGTCGATCATTATATTGATTGAGAGCAAATATATAACCTACCATTTAAATAAAAACTATATATAGTAAAGCATTATTGAAACAAGTAGACAGTAAAGAAAATCAAAGTCCTTGACTATAACTCTGATCACAAGATAAAGTATGTAAGATCGAATCTTTATAATAGTTTGCCTTCTATAAACCTAGAAAAAAGAATTTAAATAAAATGAATAAGATGAAGTTGAAAGATTGGCTATCAGTAGGCTGCTATGCTTGAATAGATATGAAAATAAGAGAAAAACGAGTATATGTAAAATATGTCTTAGCCCTTTATCAATCATTTCAATCGATATTTAAGTTGACAAACAAATCATTTTGATTTATTTCAACAAAAACATTCGTCACAGAATTTCTGTTCATTACTCACATTCACGTTAGCAGATTTTTTTTTCTGTATCGGTATTTAGTTATATTTGCGATTTTTATTTTTGATTTAATTTTCTCATGAAAACACCTATTTAGCATACCAAACCTATGATTAAGTACATTTATAAATAATAAATAAATATATATAATTAACAAATGCTGAGTAAGAAATTATTTGGAAAATATTTTATAATTATATCGAATAAATATCTTTCAAATATTTTTTTTTTTTACTACACATATTAATGCTCAATAGTTTCTAGCATTTGTTGATTTCAATTCATTGATGAATTGAGACTGCATGCATTCGTCACTCGTTTGTTCATGCTTTCTTAATCATATTTAAAAAAAGAGTACTTCATTTGATGAAAATAGAACAAAAAGAAATAACTTAGTTTTTCTTGTTGTAAAATGTTGTCTATTTATTTTTTTTTGTTATTACTATTATTACAAACGAACATGATCAAATTGTTAGAAAAGAATGGAGAAAAAGAAAACAACAAAGAGATTAGTATTGTATTGTCACATCAATGTTTGTTAAACGCATCTATCTTTTTCTTTTTAGTAAACAATTTATTCAATTGTAAATAATATATCTTAATTCCGTATTTCTTTTTCTTTTATATTACTTTTTTTTCTTTTCCCGTCGTATCGAATAATGTATGGCATGTAAAGATTCGTTGGTCTGATAAATATAGAAAGACAAACAACGTATGCCTTGAGCAATATCACATGTGACTCTTCAATATTTGACATATTGTGTATTTCAGCTTTCTTTTTTCTTGACATACCTTTTCTTAATATAATATAGTTTGTAATATAAAACCTTGTCATTTGCCGTCGTCAACTATCGATCAATACTTTAGTCTACATAGGTAAGAAAAGAAAAGAAGTCAAATCATTTCATATTATTATTCTTCTCATTTGTTCGGTAGTTTTCTTTTTATAAAAATTTGAATAGACAATATTGTTTTGATCCTTGTAATAATATATGTTGTTTTTTTCTAATCATTGTATAATCCAACCAAAAAAAAAAAAGAAATCATTCGTTGATATTCGCATTTATGTAGTATGTGTACATATTCAAAGATAAATTTGTTAATATACTAATAAGATAAAATTTATCTTGTTTCTAAGAGTTGATCATAATGTAATTTGAACTCTTAAGAGATTAAATTAGAAATTCATACTTAATATATTTATTGTTAATCATTTTCATTTAAGCATAATAATTTAATAAATTACTATTTATAAGATCTATGTCAATTATAGATATTTATATACATATTAGTATTAATAAGTACAATAATTATTAACAAAATCTAAATGGCTCAAACAACTCGTACGCGAATCTTACGTATGCCAAAAAAAGAACAAGAAATTCATGTAATTACAAATATATCGGATCAAAATGATTCTATGAATGCTCCACTTATGTCTCCTTCCTCAAATTCTACAGATTCACCAACACCACTCTCCGGTAGTCGCCGACGTCTTGTAGAACCTGACTATGAAGCACCACTTACAGCAAAACATCTTCGTCCTAATTCTCGTTGGTTCATTGTACGCCATAAATTACATAATATACGTGCTATGGATGTTGATGAACGTAATCAAGGGCAAGGACTTTCGAATTTTTATCTAAATTTACAAATGAAACGTGAACTAAAACGTGTTCAAGAGGCAATAAAAAATATTGATAAAGAAGACAATTTTCATGTTGTTAGAAGATTTTCTTTAGCTGATGGTGGTAAACCTAAAAAATATGATACAAGTCATGTTAAACCTGACGATGCACTTATATATGATCGTCTTGGTGACGAACCATTAAAATTACAAAATTTACTTTTCTATTATGATAACAAAGAAGTAACACCTGGTTCAATTGATTGGGAATTTTTAAATGAAGTTCTTCATGTATTGAAAATAAAAAGAAAACGAACTGTTCTTGTCCAAAGATTAGGAAAATTAGCATTAGCATTAGCTATGGTTTTTTATATTATTATTGGTTTTATGTTTTTTCTATTGATTATCAGTTTTATTACAACAGCAACAAAAATGAATGATCCAGAGGTTCAATGGGTGGACCCGATTGTTAATAAAGGTTCAACAAATATATTTTCATGATGATTATCAATTAAATAAAACATATGGTTGTTTTTCTTAATTTATCAACTTCATAAACAATTACAGAATTTAATTTTTTCTGTATCTTTTTTTTTCATATTTCATAAAAATTCAATTTGTTAATATTTGTGTTTCGTACTTTATTCTTCTTCACTTCATTTTATACCAGACGATTAGTTTATTAAATCGTATATATTTCCATCATATTTTATAAGAAAGACTTTTGTATATGTATTCATATGATCTCAAACACTATTCCAACAATAATGAATAATATTCTAAACATAATACAATGATTAATAAATTGTAAGATTTTCAAATAATAGAAATTTTATATTTAAAGCGTGTCTTCTTGATTGCGGACGAAAATCAAACCAATTAGCATGCCGACAGTGTGGGTGAGGGCTGAAATTTTGTCCGCAATTAAGAAGTAACCATTTAAAGAATATAATTCAAATGGTTTACAGAATTTACTGTCCATTGATTGTTTTTCTTAGAAAATTGTTTTTTTTCTACAGAAAGTATAATTTTTGCTACTGAGGATTTATTGTCCATTGATTGAATAACTTTTTTTTTCAATTAGCGTTTTTCTCGTTTGAGGATTTACTGTCCGTTGATTGCCTCGAAGAATAGAAATGAACAGAAAAATATTTATCGCAATCAACTATGTATATTTAGAAAAAAAAAAGAATTCAAACAAATATATGAGGAAATAACAAAGCGAATAAGGAATTGATTAATAAATAAATCAAAAAAGATGAATGGACGTTCAACTTTTTGGTGGACGCTGAAAATATCTAAGTCCAGCAGCTTTTAAGAATGATGGAATATCGATAACCGAGGTAGCATAATTGTCGTTTACCATGGGTAGATTCAATAAATATAGCAGACATTTTTAGGAAGAGTATGATAAGAAAATTATATTCTTTGAATTTATATATATTTTTTATAAATTTTTGTCATATTAATGCCTATTTTACTCCCCAATTTGATGAGCATCCCTCATTTTAAATTGAAAATTTATTCAATAGTTCGCTCATTGGTGACTTTTTTGTTTTTCAACATTTATGTAATTTTTTGTTCAAAAAAGGGATTGATTGTCAAGACCATTACTCATTTATTAATTTCTCTTCTTCGAAGCAATTAATGGACAGTAAATCCTCAACTAAAAAATACACTAATTGAAATATTCTATTTTTTCAATCAATGGACAGTAAATCCTCATACAAAAATAGCGTTAGTTGGAATAAAATTTTTCCAATCAATGGACAGTAAATCCGTGGACAGTAAATCCGTGGACAGTAAATCCGCGGACAGTAAATCGTGTACACGAATTCAAATACATGTCGATAATAACTCTATTAATCTTGTTGTATATATTATGTTTGATTGTATGTTGACATTTGTATGAATGAGCCATGTTCCGAATTCGCTTGTTGGCCACGAACATGTATAAAAAGTGGCCATACAATAGCTTATTTGTTGCTAAGCGCAGTCTCTTTCCTCTCAGCTATTTTTCTCAATCGTCTTCCTAGCAAATGCTAGGAAGACGATTGAGAAAGATAGATGACAGGAAAGAAACCGCTCTTAGTAACAAATAAGCTATTATAAGGCCACTTTTTATGCATTTTCGTGGCCAACAATCGAATTCGAAACATGGCTCATTGACGATTTAATATATGTTATAGAAAAATAAACTTATATTACGTTTATTCATTGTGAAGTAAGTTATTCAAAAATTTTCTCCTTGATTTATTTTAGAAACGTAATTGAAATTCTTCATACTGTGAACTAGAAGAAATAGAAAATTTTACTATTTTAAAAAATTCTATGAAATTTAGGTATATATTACAATTCATTCGCTTTGATTTGCAGTACAAATTTAGTAACAAATATGTTTGTTTTCGAGAAAAAACCATCGATTCTGTTGGAAAGTGATTTTATTCATATACTCATTATGAAAACATTATGAAAACATTACGAAACCTCTGTCATAATAGTTTCTTTTTAATTTGTTCGTAGTCAGAACTTATAAGGTCATACGTTCTGCAGCGTCATTATCAGCACATTATGTAGCAACATTATTTTATGCTCATTTATTGAAATAAATGATTACATTACACCAATAATAAAATATTTTTAAGTCCTCAACGATGACAGAAATGTACACACGTAAATGTATCCAAATTCTGATAAGCCTATGCAATTCTACAAGGCTCCAGAGATGGGCAAGTGAAGTCATTTTTTGACTTGAGAAATTTTTTCTAATTTCTTGACTTGACTTGACTTGATTTTTGACTTGGCCTTCAAAATCAAATCACAAGTTAAGAAAAAAATGGACATATTTTTGCAATTTATGCGTCTAATTCTTGTCTACACTAAAAGTACCTATGAGAGCAGGAGCAAAGAAAAAGAAATTCTTCCATGTACTTCAGATAAGCGGCAACCAGATGAGAATATATAGTCACTTTTTTGATTTGACTTGGAAAGCGTTGTGACTTGATTAGACTTGATTCAATCATTTTTTTGGCGATTAATGGTTTGACTTGACGTGATCTGAACCTTAAAAGCCTCTGACTTGCCTATTTCTGTAAGGCCCCCTTAAAAACTGATCTCAGCCCACAAAAGTTCAAATGACATGAAATTATCAGCCCGATACCATGGTGTTTAAGGGAGATATTGGCCAGATAAGGATCATCAACAGTTCATTTGACAGTCCAAATTTCTCTACCGAGGTTCATTCTATATATATTTAACTTGTTTTGTTGTTTGAAAGAGCATGTAAGGATGCAGGACACCACAGAGTCCTTTCTTTAAATTCTTACTTTGTAAGCAAAAAGAAGGAATCACAAGTTCAGTGGCTTGAAAAACCCCGAAAAAATGATCGTTTTCCATAGTGGTGTTTTCTTAGATTATTATAAAAAGAAGGACTCTGTAATGTCCTGTATCTTGACGTGCTCTTTCCAACAAAAAAAAATACACACATCACATGAACTTGGACTGAGAGATTTAGGTTGCGCGTTCGACACATCATGAACTGAGAAAAAATGAAAAAGATTTTCGGTTTTTTTTTTCAAAACCAACTGGTTGTTCGAATAGGAGGTGACGGAAATCTTCAAAAGTTTTTGGAAGAAAATGGGATGCCGAGTAAAAACTTTAGTTGTTTATGAGAGATCAGATCACGAGCGATCTTCCCATGCATTTATCTTAATTTTGATCATTGTAACAAAAAGTGACTTTTTTGAGAAGGGAGACGTTAACAATCTGTATCAGTATTTTACCCAGATTTTCCTCTTTCAAAGAGGAGTTTAAAGTTACAAGAGAGCAAGTACCTATTTTTGAAAGTAGGAACTACAGTTCGATGACTTCAAATATTACCCAGAACTAAAGTCACGGTTCCGGTTGTTAAAAATGAGGAAAAAAAACAGTTCCGGTTTAATTTCCAAAAGACCACATAGAACCGAATTCATTAAATTATTAGATAGAATACGAAAATTTTAAATGTATATCCTGTGAAAAAGTGTTCTTGCCTCTTCTTTCATTCTTTTCGTATAGAACCCTATTGGTCCCAAGTGAATATCAGTTACAAAGGTGGCTTAAGTACTTTATTGTAGTTTAATGTATGATTGATGACAATTTACTTCAATGAAGCATATACATTTTTTTCAATAGAATTGAGCAACACTACAAATGAGTTGATTGATAAAATATTTTAAGAATGAGCTATCTCTTTTGTATAATATTTGCTAACTAGTTCACTCGTTTGAATCATAAAACTGTCTTCATCATTGATTCGAGGCTCTTCCCAAAATGTGATACCGACGGCGATACATATACAGATGAAATAAAACTGATAAAACATTTAAAAAACATCTGAAGAAAAAGAGATAAACAAGTTATAAAGTATTCTATTAACTAACTGATTTTGAGAGTTGACCGATTATATTGAATGATGTACGCTGCTTATTGAAGTAAGTCGTAGTTAAATGAGGATGAGTGAAGAAGAAGACTTTTGTCTATAAATATGTTTGAAGAGATTTTAACTATTCAATTGTTAAGTTTCAAGATACCACATATTTTAGTAATCAAGAAAAATAATCTTTGTACGTACACTAAAATCTTAAATCTCAAGAATGAAAAAAATGACGATTTATCGACATAGATTTAAGAATTGTCGTATCTATCTGATGATTTAATGGTTCAGGCCCAGTTCTTGGTTTCAGGTTTTTGAAACCGTCGAGTTTTAATACAAACATCATGGTACATAGCACAGTATCAACAGGCTCCGAGAGAGCCAACACGTTCTTTGAAGAGGCACGCTTCCTAGGTCATACTTAGAACCCAATCAGTCCCTTCGTACCTTAAAACCGATCGTTTTCACTGTTTTCTGTATTGTTGATTTTGGAACACTAAAGCTGGCCTAGTACGCTCGTTTTTAATGATTTTCATGGTTTTAATGAGGAACAGATATGAGCCTGGAAGTTTTCAAATGACAAATTTTCAGTCGTTATCAAAATCTCAGCTCGAAATATCGAGCTATTACTTTCTTATCATACAATGCGAGCATCGAATCATGCTGAATGAATTTATCATGCTCTCGATAAGTTAGCCACAGATCAAAAGTTAATTTCGTCTACAAACAATAGTATCCTTTTACGAATATGAAACGTCTTTCAGCTGTGTTAAAAAGGCTAAGATAGAAGTTATTACTATTAGAAACTCAAAGTGTTACATGAATTTTATATTGTATATGTCGGCATAAAACTGATTGCTTAGTCGATATCATCAACACATCGATTTTTCCTCGCTTAAGTCAAAAATGTCAACCGAACGGTTCTAAATATAACTATAAAAACTACTATTATGATGAATAAATCAAATAAAATATCTAATACTTTGAATCAATAAATGAACAGTTCAATGAACATTTTTTTTAGGAGACACAGTTTTGATTAATGTTTTCTTATTATATAATCTATAAAGCTTTAAAAATCTGATTA